CACAAAACGACGGTGAACAGATAAATGTGACTTCAGGACGAACCCAGGTGACGTTCAGACTCCTGACTCGTTATAAACTCTGACTCGTTGGTTTGTTGGGGACACGTGTGACTCTACTTTGAGTCTTTTGGGTTTCACTGCTGTGACGTGCAGGTTTGTGATCTTTGTGCAGACTGAAGGTTTGTGAGTCACTGGAAGCTGCTGCAGATGTTTGTACAGCGAGCTGAGTGCTGAGCAGGGCGTGGCCGCTCCCAGACCTCCACGTCCACTGCTGCTCGTCTGGAAGCCGCCGATGAACCACGGAGGACCACGGAGGCTCTGACTCATCAGCATGGAGCTCTGTGAGGAGCACACGCTCCTCTGTCAGCACCTCCACATGTTCCTCAACCGTCACAACATCAGAGACACAATCAACACAACAAACACCAAACACATCCTGCTGCGTGTTTCTGATTCTCTTTATTTCATCCTCAACTTCTTATTCATTTATTTGAAGGAAAACACAAAACATCCACAAAGACACAAAACAGCTGCAAAAAGAGACAAGAAACAACCACAAAACACACAAAAATAGATTCAAACTCACCACAAAGACACAAAATGACTGCAAAAAGACAACAAGATGAGCAAAATGACAACAAAAAAGAACAAGTCATGGACACAAAAAAGACACAAAATCACTGCAAAGAAACAGAAAATAATCAAAGAGACACGATCACCACAAATGAGAGACGAAACAACTGCAAGAAGACACAAAAACAGACGCCTGTGACCACAAACACACACAAAATTAACACAAAGAGAAATAATAAATAAACAGCTGCAAAAAGACAACAAACATGAAACATGGCAGCAAAAAACCTCACGGACACAAAAATGGACACAGCGTGACCACTAAGACACCAAACAGCTGCAAATAGACACAACAATAAACACAAAATGACTGCAGGGACACAAAAAACTGTGAAAAGACACAAAAAGACACAACTGCATAAGGACACGTGCAAAAATGATCCTGAAGACACAAAATAACTGCAAAAAGACAACAAACATGCAGCATGGCAGCAAAAAACCCTCATGGACACAAAAATGGACATAAAATGATCAAAAAGAGACACAACATGACCACAGACACACAAAACAACCGCACAGACACACAAAGTGTCTTCAGAGACACAAAATATCTGCAGAACGGTTCACATCGGCCACATGAGACGCATCAGCCCTCAGGTGTCCTGACTGATCCGGTTTGTCCTTCATCAGCCGCCGTACAGGAGCGGACAGCTGCTGCCTGCTCCCACCAAGGTGTGTGTGTGTGTGTGTGTGTGTGTGTGCGTGTGTGTGTGTGTGTGTGTGACATTGTGGGCGTCTCTGTGTTTAGCGCAGCCTCCTCACAGGCCACTCCCGGGAAGCGCGCTGCTGTTCCGCCACACGGACGCACCGACGGACGGACGGACGGACGGACGGAGTGTCGGCTCTGCGCGTCCTGCGGTCTCCTGCTCTCCGGTCGCCTCCTCATCCCCAGCCCTCCTCCTCCTCCTCCTGCTGCAGCGGCCGAACCGGGGGTCGAGGCGGAGGCATGTAGCCGCGGACGGAGCGCGCCGAGCGGCATGTAGCACCTGGAGCTGCCCGCCTCCCGCTGCGTCTCCTCCCGGAGCTCTGCCTTCTGCTGCCGGCACCAGCGTCGCCTCGCGCACGGATTTTGGGGATTTTTTTATTTTTTTTTTTTTGTAGTCGGGGTGGGTGGGGGGATTTGTTTATTCTAGAGGAGTGTGTGTTCGTCCCCGCCGCTCTGCGCCTCCCGGTCGATGGTCGTTGGGGAAGCTTCCATCTTGAGTCCCGTTTCTACCGAGAGCACCATGGCGAGCGACTCCCCAGCGCGGAGTCTGGACGAGATAGACCTGTCTGCACTACGGGTAAGTGTCCCCGCGTGTGTCTGTGTGTGTGTGCGTGCGTGAGGTGTCTGTCTGTGTGTGCGCGCGTGCACGTGAAGCTGTTGAACACCTGTCCACCCCCCCTCTGCTCCCCGTCCTCCCCCCTCCTCTCCATCCTCACCCGCCGCGGATGGATGCGTCTCCCTGCGCCTTCTCCTGCCTCCACTGCCGCCCGGCCGGAGGCGTGCGTGCATGCGCGTGCACGTAGCCTCCAATATGCAGCTCATCCTTGTGTGTGTGTTAGTGCTCGTGCACGGCGGCCACTGATTGAGGAAATCAGGTCGCTTATCAGCGGTCACGTGACCTGCCCACCGACACTCCTGCCGCTGTTTGTTGTTTATTGTTGGTGTTTTTTTCTAAACAATTGGGACGTGATGTAATGAGGCCCTGAGCTGCCGCCGCTGCCGCGCGTGCACGCACGCTAATGCGCGTGCGTCGGGCGGCATAATAGAGGCCGCTCTGTCTGTACTATGTGGGGCAGATGTTAAGCTGCCTGCTCGCTGACACTTACACACACGCGCGCGCGCGCAGAGGCTTCAGATGCACACGTGCACGCGCAGATATCACACACACACACACACCGTGCACGGCAGCGATGATAACCGCAACAGGAGCGAGTTCCGCCATTTCGTGATGTTGTGGCGACAGCAGCAGCAGCAGCAGCAGCAGCAGTGGCTGTTTTTGTTGGGTCTGTGCGCTTGCGCGTGCTCGCGAGCGTTTGAGGTGTGCAGGAATGTGCGTGTGTGCGCGCGCGCGCGTGTATTTGCATATTTGAATGTGTGTGAGAGAGATGAAGGCTGAGGTGATCCAGTCACAAAGTTTCCTCATTTTAATGGAGCAGGTAACCAGGTGTGCGTCGCCATGGAGAACTGTACAGGTCACGTGCTTGTGTGTGCACATTTGTGTGTGTGTGTGTGTGTGTGTGTGTGTGTTTGTTCTGCACAGCTTCCTTTCCCTTTGCATGCTGCTTATGCAACACAGTTGTACCTGCAGAGCAATGATCAAGTCTGGACTTGATCGACCGGGTGGGACTGCATGTCTGAGTGTGTGTCTGTGTGTGCGTATGTGTGTGTGTGTGTGTGTGAGACGCATAGTAACTGCAAAAAGACACAAAATGACCACAAATTAAGACACAGAAAGAACACAAAGGGACGCAAAATAAACACAGAGACACAAACGAGATGTAAAATTACCACAGAGACACAAAGCCGCCGCCAGAAGACACAACAATGGATGTAAAATGAACACAAAGACACACGATATGACCACAGAGACACAAAACAATTGAAAAACGAGATTCGAAATGGCCAGACAAAGACCAGCAGCAGACACAAACGAACCACAAAGAGACACAAAACGACTACAGAGATGCTAAGCAACAGCAAAAAGACACAAAAGAGACAAAATGACTGCAGACACACAAATCTACTGCAAATAGATGGACAATGAACACAGAGACATCCTTTGTCCACAAAGCTACAAACAACTGCAAAAAAGGTGCAAAATGACAACAAAGAAACACAAAACATCTGCACAGTGACACACAAAGAAACACAAAACATCTGCAGAGTGACACACAAAGAAACACAAAACATCTGCACAGTGACACACAAAGAAACACAAAATGAACCAAAGGGCCACAAGCAGCAGGAAAAAAACAGAAAACGACACAGAATGACCACAGCTACACAAAACAGCCGCCAAAAGACACTAATGCAGTACGACCACAAAGAGACAGACAACAGCCGCAAGAAAACACACAAAACAGGATGCAACATGAACACAAAGCGACACAAAACAGCCACAAAAAGGCACCAAAGAAATGCACAAAAAACACAAAATGATCAGAGACCAAAAACAGCAACGAGACACCAACAGAGACACAAAAGGAGCCGAGACACAAACTGCACAGTTACACTGAAAGAGCCACAAAGTGACACAAAATCACCACAAATCGACCACATAGACACAAACCAGTGGCAATGAGACGCAATAAAAACACACAAAAAGGCCTCAAATTCACACAAAATGAAAGCGGAGACACAAAACGATTTCAGAACACACCTCTGACACACAAAGAAGACACAAAAACGGCCACCAGATAGACACACACAGACACACACTGGGTGGCAAAGTGAAGACACTGTAGAAGCTGTGAGGAAACGCTGGACGAGATGTGAATGTTCTTGTAAAATCTTTGCCGTCTCCCTCGGTGGCATCGCAGAAATTAGGTCACCGAGGACGGAGCAGGGAGAGCTGGGGGGAAGCATTTCAGCGTGACGCAAGGCCTGTCATCACCACACACACACACACACTTCCTGGTTGTGCACCGATGATCTCGTCTTGTAGTTTTTTTTTTTTTTTACCTCTTCCTGTAGTTTTTATTCCCTCTTCCTGTAGTTTAACGTCCTTCCGTAGTTTGTACCTCTTATTGTAGTTTTTCCTCCGCCTGTAGTTTTACCTCTTTGTGTAGTTTTTATTCCATCCTGTTGTAGTTTGTACCTCCTCCTGTAGTTTTTCTATTCTCTTCTCTTGTAGATTTTTCCGCCACCTTTCGTTTTACCTCTTCCTGTAGTTTTACCTCTTCTTGTAGTTTTTATTCCATCCTCTTGTAGTTTTTACCTGTTCCTGTAGTTTTACCTCCTCCTCATGTAGTTTGTACCTCTTTCTGCTATGCTAGTTAGCCTTTAGCATCTGTAATATTTCTGATGATACTTTCTCCGTTGTGACTTAAGATGTAGACTTTTTTTTTTTCAATTGAAATTCAACTGTGTTTTTAAATTTCCAGAAACAAAAACAAATACTTTTAGCTTTGAGGCTAACAGCTAGCCTTAACAGGCCTGACTTTCGTAGTTCAGGTTGTTTGTAACGTTCCTGAAACCCGCTGTGTTCGAGTGATGCTACTTTTGCGCTAATAACATGATGATAAACTCAATACGAATGAAAACAACAACTAGTTTTAGGCACTTTTTTTTAGCAGAAAGCCTGACTAGCCATCTAGCGGCTAGCAGGTTGCAGCGAGGCCTCTGTTCCGCTTCCTGCATGTGCCATCCTCTGTTCTTCTCCTCTCGCACATGTGTTCAGACAGTTGGCAGGTACAGGTATGCACAGGTGTGCACGTGAGGCTCCAGGAGCACATGTGCTTCTGTTTGACCTTGAGCGAAAAGGAACGCAGCTTTTTAAGCTAATCCCCATCAGAGGCTCCACTGTAATAGTCCCAACGCTCTCCTGTGGCGGCCTACTGTACGCCAACACACACACACACACACACACACACACACACACACGCAGGTACGCTTCAAAGATCCACATCTGTGAATTGGGAGGTTTACTGAATTTTAATCAGCCTGCAGATAAGATTATCTCCTGTGTGTGTCTGTGTGACTGTGTTTTATCTGCTGGTCTCTGGTTATTGTGCAGGGCTTTCCTCGGTCATTGTCGCCGCCTCGACGCCGCATTATGCTCGCTTTGCAGGGTATTTGTCAAGGATTTCTAGATCAAAACGCAACACGTGTCAGATTTAATGCATCCTGAGCTCCTAAGTGACACATGAATCTGTTAAGATAGCGCACGCTGACAACCCTGTCCTCTGGAAATGACGCTTCTATTCTCTATAATAATAAATAAATAAATGTGTAAAATAATAAAAAAATAAAATTCACAGGGCTTCAAACTAACTTTTATTTAAATACACCCAGAAAGTTGCTGCTTACGTCCGGTCCTGTACACGTTGGTCATTTCTGAACACATGATGTAAAAACTTGTTGACAGCATTTAGGTGCAGATAAATGACGACGATCTGGGAATTAAAGTTAAATGAAGGTAGCTCCTCTTTGACTATATTATGAGGGTGTGTTGTGTTTAGTTTTATTTTACAATTGAAACAGGTGTGAGACATAAAATTACTGCGAGAAAAGTGAATTAAGGCGTCAGATTCACCTCAGCTGAAGTGTTTTTAACTTCCTGCTAATTGTCAGGCGAACTGATGAGACCAATTAAAAGGTGTTTGTTGCATTCGGCAGTTCAGTTCAATTTGCATTTTCAAATTTAATGCTAAAAAAAGAGACTAAATTAGCTTTAGTGGAGATGAATAGGTAGCTTTAAGTAGCCTGAGTGTACTCATGTTTCTCATATTTTACAGTTTAGATACGATTCCTTTCTGCTGTATATTTTGAAGGTCTAATAGTTCAGTATGGACACCTAAATATGACATTCAGAGTTGCTTAACCACCACAATTTATGTGAATTCCTTCTACAAGAGTCAAAGACGGTAGTTAGCCTACTGCTGCTGTGCTAAGCTAGCTTAGTTAGCTTTTAGCAACACTAGTTTATCTGGTGTTACTCTTTATTCTCTTATGACTTACATTTTTATACCATAAGTTTCATTTAAATTCAATTGTTCTATTAAGTAAGAGACTAAATTAGCTTTAGCATTAAGGCTATCCATTAGCCTTAGCTATCCTAAGATGTTTCCTAGTTTCTATGAAATTATACCCTTTTTTCACCTCAAAAATGATCAAATTCTTTGTTTTTTTTCTGTTTGTTAGGACTTTTCTTTAAATGTATATGTTAAATATTAAAAGTAAAGGATTCTAACCACAACAAATGATGTGATTTCCACTAGAGACAAAACCTTAATTGATAGTAGTTAGCCTGCTGCTTCTTTGCTAAGCTAGGCCAGTTACTTTTAGCATTATTAATTCATCGACTACATACTTTTTTCACATTAAGTTTTAACGATTGTTTTCAATAAATTCAATCTGAATTCAGTTCAAATCATCAGCAAGGCATTGCTTTCTTCAGACTAAGAAATTAAAAAAAAAAAAAAAAAAAAAAGAGGTGAATAGTTTTCCTAAAGATGAAGTACTGAAGGTTTAATCTTGATATATACACACTCAAATGATAAATTTAAAGCAACTTAACCACAATAAATAAAGTAAATTCCATTGGAGACAGTAGCCTGCTCTGCTAAGCTAGGCTAGTTAGCATTTAGCAGCACTAATTTACCTTTTTTCTCCTTTATGACTTCAGATTGAGTTGTGTCTTCAATACATTTAATTCAAAGTTATTAGTGTCCAGCAGCAAAATTATGTTTCAGACTTCAAAATGTTTAGCTTTTATGCTAACAGCTAGCCTTAATTAGCCAGTTTGCTGATTTTGTTTTTCCTTCAGAATTCAGTGATATAGCAATATATGTGGCCAGACAAGACACGGAAAAGACTCGCGTTAGGGTTATGCTAGGTGATGCACTGATGGGAGCTGCTGAAGGAATAATAACGTCGTGGTGACACAGCAGTAGCACAGGTATGCAGCCAGCCTCTTAATAAGTGTGTGTGTGTGTGTGTAGATGTGTGTGTGTGTGTGTGTGTGTGTAGATGTGTGTGTGTGTGAAGGTCAAATTCCACATTAAATTCCTTCATCCAGCTCGTGTCCGGGTCAGTCATGAATCACAGCTACGTTCTCCCCAATAACTTTGTGTTCTCATGTGTGCTGTTCTTCCAGGACCCGGCTGGTATCTTCGAGCTGGTCGAACTGGTTGGAAATGGCACCTACGGGCAGGTCTACAAGGTAAGGCTCACACACACTGTGTCACACACAGCTGCTCGATGCCAAATCGACTTCAGATGGTTGTGGAAAAAATTTGAAGAAAAGTGCAGTTAAAAGGCAACGAGAAAGCGTCTGTTGTTGGTCCTTTGTGTATACAGGGAGGAGGTCAGGGTGGATGGAGGGTCAGTTCCTCTGTTTGCTTTGTGTTGTCGCAGCATTATTGTGTGATTTTATTTTTAAAGGCACCAATAAATGAAAGGATTTTGTCGCTTAATGTGTTCGTTGGTCCAACAGCGATGAAAAAGCTAACGTTGTCAGTGAGAAATCCTGCAAATAGCTCCAAGCAAACATCTTTTATTTCTGCTGTGGTTGTACCTTCACTTGTTCAGCATTTGGCCCTTGAAGTGAACATTTCCTCCTGATTTAAAGGGGAAGCCGAGGACGTTTCAGGGATTAACTGCGTGCCTTGTAGCGCGAGCTTGAAGCGCTCAGCAAGAAGCCACTCCAGCAGGCGCTCACACGGTCGACCTCTGATCTAATTTCTGACTAAAGCTGAAGTTACTACCGACTCTCTGTGCGGCAGACGCCCACACAGGCTGTGGAAGCAGAGGCAGAGTGTGTGTCTACGAGTGTGTGTCGTCTCTGTTTGGGAGCAATTAACACACTCGTCCTGTCTGCTGTCGCTCTGCATCGATTCGCCGTCTCAACGCGGCGACGCCTCCTGAGCGGAAATGATTGATGGAAGTGAGCCGACACAAAGCATCGTGGGTAAATGAAGAGCATCTGAGAGTCGCTGGACGCCGAGCAGACCGATACCGGATGTATTGATCTGGTAAAGACGTTTTAAATGAGTAGTCGGGAGCTGATGTTGGATGATTTTACAAACGGAGCCAGATCTTGTTCTGCTCCTGCTCTCCTAAAATCTAGGAATATGCAAGTATTTGTGTTTTTTGATCACTCAAGTTCTCCATTGACTCACGACGTGCTGCAAGAGTCCAACAAAACAAAGCGCCGCCAAGCTTTCAGTGGTTTTTTTAAGACGATGAAAGTGTGAGAACGGGAAATTGGAGACAATATCTGGAGGCAGAACACCACTTTTTGGTGTTTCGTGTAAGAAAAGTGACGCAGAAACGACAAAGTTTGGTGTTTTACAACCAAATAAAACCGCCTGGGATCATATTCACACATGTGCAATAAGTAAATTAATGTTTTTATCGCATCAACCCTTAAAGATTCAGCATCAGTCGGGCTGCATCGTGCACACAAAGACAACGAAGAAACGATTCGGTAGGTTTTCTAAATAGAAGGTAAATAAGAGGAAAGCGCTACGTCTAAAATCCTGAGCTGGAACACTTCATTTATACGTCAGAAACAAACTTGTCGGAGATCTTCCAGTTTGACGCGACAGCTTTGACCCGCTGAGCCTCCTGCAGACGACACTCCGGGCTCCGCTCGAAATTCATTAGAATTAATTAATACCAAGCTTTCTCTATTTAATTAGCGCCAGATCACATCAGTCCTTCCCGGGAACGTCACAGGAAATTGCAATTTACATGATTGCTGCTGCTTTCTAGGAAATTATAGCGACATAGTCATAAAACAAAACCTCTGAAACGTCGGCGTGGAAACGTCACCGAAGGGTCAAGAGCTGGACTAAATATTCTCCCTTTCTGTCCAGTTTGGGTTTTTTTTTAACTACGGCTGAGTCTGGTTCATTCATCCTCCCCGCCAACGTTTTCCAAATCGTTTTTTTCTTCTTCTTTCCACCCTCGGGGCTGCCGACGCCTCCCCTCCTGGATCCCAGTTTTAGAAATCGTTCACAGTTACAGATAGTGAGCGAGCGATGAGCGAGAAGTATCTGAATGATGCTCGAAAGCATGAAAGATGCGCCGATGTTTCACTGCAGCAGAGACGCCGGTTGGATCATGTTTTAAAGAAGGCTCGACTAGTGAGGTTCGATTAAGCAGCGAGTTCATCGATCTGACTTGGAGCTCGGAGAGGCTCCTGAAACCTGCTGGCTCGTCTCCGCAGGTTCATTCTGGTGCAGCAGAGAAACGTGTGATTCACGCTTTTAGAACCTGTTTCTAACCTCTGCCATGATGATAGTGAGATGCAGTAAAGTCAGAATGAAACAGTCGCACGTGTGACTGTGAATCCAGTTTAAAAACCTTCCTGCGCCCTCAGTCACGGCGGCGGCGGCGGATCTCTGGCAGCTGGAGCGCTTTTATTCCCCATCGGCTGCAAACACGTGACGTAAACGGAAGCGTTTGGTTTCGCTCTGAAAGAAAAGTGTGTAGAAGTCGGTGTAGAGACGGTGAATCTGTGCAGGAGCTGCCTGTCGCTGCCTTTTGTTTACCGCCAGCGTTGAATAAAGTTTCCTTTTTTATGGGGTTTTTAAAAATAGCTACTTCCTGGGAACATTTGCGAACGTTATTGTATGAATGAGGAACCAATAAAATACTGGCTGGTGGAAGGACACAAGAATCAGGGGAACAAACGAACCTTTTAGTGGTAAATTCTTCCGTCGCTACTGGTCGGGACCAAGCCCAGTTCTGCTGATTGGTGCCGACATGAACCTAAACCTGATCGTTTAGGCGTAAAGGTGTTTATTCAAGTAATTTCCTTAGAAAGAATCATTTAAAATACATAAAGTCCTGTGATGTTATTGCTATTTTAAGTCACTGGAATTAACACATTCTTTACTAGTTAATAGTTTAAATGAGCATGTTTGCTAGCTGGAGCTCGTTAAGCGCCACAGAAGTCTTTGTCATGGTGCCGCTTTACGAGCTAATCCCCCACAATGCTCTCTGCTCGCCAACACCACAAAGAGGCTCCACCTGTTGGTACAACCAGGTACTACAGCTGAAGTGTGTCTCATTTAGGAAAATGGTGTCCAAGTGGGACTTGTTGTCAACAGATACTGAATATTAAATGACCTCTCGGGAGCAATTAAACATGTTAAAAATAATGAAGTAATTCTGAGGCTGTTCAACTCCTGAAGACGCTGAAGAAGACGACTTTAGTGGGTTTAGGAGGAAGATGAAGATAGCGATCGATGACTTCTCCTGGTAGGCTGCTGGAGTTTTTATTTCCTCAACCAGCCGTGTTACAGGAACTGTTCGTAAAAAAGCATTTACGGTATCTGTGTATCTTACCGGTACGCATTTAATTAAAAATCTTTCTGTGTAAATATCTCATGTTCCAACCTGCAGCTTATAGACAAGTGCAGCCTGTAGATGTACAAAACTGGTTTTCTTATATTCAGGTGCTCAGTAGTCTGGAAATGACAGTAAATTGCTTTGCTGTCGCTCATTTTCATCCAGCCAATGGTACGCTAGATGGGGCGGGACTTGTTGCTTGAGTAGAAGCTTTAAACGTGTCGTATTTTAAGCCGATCTGAGACATTTTTCTTAACTTTAGCCGAGTCAATTTGGTGTCCAAGCTTTTAAAAGTGTCCAACGAAACATTCCTACACTTTACCGCCTAAACCGAACTGAAAGTAAACAACAAAACCTGACGTCGTGACTTTGATTCTCTTTGCTGAGACGTTACGAGTCACAAATCAGGTTTATTTCAAAATGTTCTACTCAGGACACAGTTTAGTTGTAGAGGAACGTAAATCTGTGGACAGCAGGAGTCAGACGTTCTAATGATGCTCACATCGTTTGTTGTGCCGGTTTCACTTATTCTCAAACGTTGTTTCAGTTACAGAATAAAGGAGGAGGTTCGTCTTCGCTAAATGCTGCACACGACACGTCTCCTCCTTCCAGTTCATCCTCTGTGCTGTTGCGTCCACTGTGGTGCGAGTTTCCACATCGAATTTCCGTTTAATCAACAGAGAAATTAGTCATCAGGAACTTCCCTAAAAACAACGACGACGATGCGTCCGTTAGCGTCTTCTTTCTGATTCACGGCACCATTTTGTCCAGACATCAGTTCTGTTTTCTGCTGCTGGAGGTGGAGTTCACGACAGTTTTACTTCATTTGAACGTTTTATTTTCACGCCACTTCCTGTTTTTGACTTTTTTGCGGCTCTTGGTTTGTCTGATATTTATCTGGAGCGACTTTGTTTGAGTTTAAACCAGCTGTTCCCAACCGTTTGTTCACCACGGACCGGTTTCAAGCAACAAAAAAAACTCCACGGACCGGTTGTTGCTCACTGAACAAATTTTAATTGTTTTTTCTGTTAAAAAATTGTCATAAACGAATCAAATTACTTTTTATTGCTAAATAAGTTTTTACTTTTTCTTCGGTCTCAGCAGCTCTCAAGTTAGTTTTTTTATTCATTTTGGCAGCGGTTAGATTAGATTTAACAGCTGGACATGAAGTCAAGCACAGGCGGAAGTGACGGGTAGACGAGCTCATCATTTTTCAAAATAAAACACCCTGCAGACTCCGCAGGAAATAAAATAAACCGATAAAACGTTTTTGTTGTTTCTGTGCGGCCCGGTGGTTGGGGACCGCTGGTTCAAACCATCAGCTGAATGATTCTTATTGTTGATATTTCATTTATTTTACATTTCTTCTTACCTTATTTCATATTGTTGTTCTTACCGCGTAGAAATCAGCTTTCACTTTGACATGAAAGAGTCTTTTTAAAGTATTTTCTTGTTCAAAAAGACAAATTAAAGAGTTCAAACAGCTGCTCGATGCACTGCTTTCTCCTCGTTTTATTGCATTTTGAATCACGGTCAATACAATTCAGCTGTTTTGAAAGAGATTCTTTCATGTCCGAGTGAAAACAGATTTCTTTTTCCATCTCCAATCGGCTGCACGTTGGAAAGTGGCGAGAACTTATTTTATATTTTTAATTCACTGACATTACTTTGTCGAATTCTGTTTTCACTTTGACACGAAAGAGTTTTTTTTTTTGTAATTTCCGGTTCAAAAAGACAAATAAATTGACTGTATGGAGTTAAAACAGTCAGTCGATGCACTAGTTTCATCCTCTTTCCTGCTTTATTGCATCTCCACGTTGAATCATGATCCATAGAATTAGTTTTGACAAGAATTTACAAAAA